GTCCAGCCAGGACCAGTGGGTCTGCCAGGAAGAAGAGGCCTCCCGGGGATGCAGGGAGAAATGGGACCCCAGGGTCCCCCAGGAGAACCAGGTAGGAGCCCTGCTGTAGGGCCGCCAGGGAAAGGCTCCTTGTCCTACTTGCTTTGTTGTTTTCTCACTGAAAAGCATTTGTTAAGCCCCAATGCCTCTCTCTCCACGGCACTCACACCTGTTTCGGTGACTCCACAGGCTTCCGCGGGGCTCCAGGGAAGGCAGGGCCCCAGGGAAGAGGCGGTGTGTCAGCCAACCCCGGATTCCGAGGAGACGTGGGGCCCATGGGGCACCAGGGGCCACTTGGCCAGGAAGGTGAGTGATGGACCATGAAAGGGGCCAGTGGGCATGGGCTTCTTCCAGGCCCGCTGTGATCTGACAGAGGGGCTGTGGTGTGCAAGGAGGGAGTAGAGGAGCACTGAGAGGGATGCGCCCCTTCTGCTCTGAAACCCCAGCTCAGCTCCCAGGACCCTCGGTGCAGCCTTGGTCTCGGACGCACGCCCTCACACCTGCGCCCAGCAGAGCACCTGGCACAGAATCTCCAGGACAGGCTAGCTTCTCTCCTTCCTCTGAGGCCTGGGCAGGTGCCTCTGAGAAGGAAGCACCTGACATACCTGAGAGATAAGATTTGAAAAGATCTGAAGGCCTGAGACAATGAGATGAAAGAAAGCAATTACATTCACCAAAGCCTTGTGGACTAATTTTTTTTTTTAATTATTTGTATATGTGCAGGATGGGCCAGAAATAATAGCCAGTCATGTGCAAAAAAAATTAAATTCTTGCGATGTCACCCACCTGTGCTCATTACAGTATGAGGCTGCATTATCAGCACCCACATCTCAGAAGCAGCAATCTGCTGCCCTCCGGAGGGACTCACCCACGGCCAGATTGTGTAACCTGGGGGATGCACATCTGGAAACACACGTGGACAGACAGGAGCCATCCAGGAGAGGAGACCTGAGACGGCGCAGGGCGGAGGGGATGTCCTAATGACAAAGGGAAAGTGGCGAGAGTGAAAAATGTCCTTGCAGGGGAGGGGTCATGTGGGAGCACAATCAGGACAGCTGATGTCAAACACGTGAAGAATTGTCCTGTGGAAGGCAGTGTAGACATCCTGTCCTCTGATGGGAGAATCCGGCCTCCTGAGTGGGCATTTCCAGCCCCACGATGGCCCAGGTGTGCCTTGAGCCGCCTTTCCCCAAGCATCTAGGAAAGGGAGACCTGGCCGCTGGGGGTAGAGAAGTCCATTGGTTTGGCCTGCGCACTAAGGTTTATGTATACTCCACCATTGCAGGGAGGCTGGACTTGGATACATCTGGGGCCCCTTCCAGGGGTTCTCATTCTTGCTCAGCACTAATGCACCCTGAGGGGAAAGCGCATGAGACAGCCAAGTCCCTGCCCTTGTTCGGTGCCCTCCCTGTCATCATCGCGTGCTTACTGAGCGTGGAATGTAGGTCAAGTCCTCCTCAGGAGGCTCTGGTCTGCAAGGGCAGAGCCACGTGCACCTGGGCCTCCAGAGAACGCCCAGCGACAGCTATAAATGTGACCATGTGCTGTCGGCCGTGGGCTGTGGGCTGTGGGCTGTGGGCTGTGGGCTGTGGGCTGAGGTTTACACGGCAGCTGAAAGGTGGCTCCTTCCTTTCGGACCCTAGGAGAGCCAGGCCGCCCCGGGTCCCCTGGCCTGCCCGGCATGCCCGGCCGCAGTGTCGGCATCGGCTACCTCCTGGTGAAACACAGCCAGACGGACCAGGAGCCCATGTGCCCACAGGGCATGAACAAGCTCTGGAGTGGATACAGCCTGCTGTACTTCGAAGGCCAGGAGAAAGCCCACAACCAGGACCTGGGTAGGTACCGCCCACCAGTCCCCAGGCCAGCTCAGGTGCAGGAGGTCAAGTTCGAACAGCCACAGTGAGGCTCATGAGTCCTCCACAGCCAATGAGCTTCTCCTGATGGAGGGCGCTGGGCCATTCACATCCCTGGGTTTTTCAGAAAGGGTTAAAATGCCCTCTGATGCCCTCATGTGAGGACCATGGGGACCTGGCTTTAGCTCTGAGAAGCCTCCCACAGGCTCCCATGATCCCTGCCTTGTGCTGGCTCCTCTCTGCCCGGAGGCCACCAGCTGCTTCCCCGCCTTGCTTTTTGCCCCGAGTTCTGTAAACAGCTGGGGTGGGCTCATGAGGGCCTGGGGGCCACATCGAACCCCCTGGAAAATAGATATGCGGGTGGGTGTGCTCGGATTTATCCAAGTAAACCTGGTTGCCAGAAGGAATTAAAATAGCATGAAAGCACACGGTCCTTAAGTGCTGGGGCCCAGTGGTGTGTGCACATTCCCGTGTATGTGATCTACTTCCGTTGTAAGTTTATTTAAGCGGGGCAAAGGGAAAGGGCCTAAAAGAAAGGTGGGGACCAGGGCCAAGGAGGCCGCCTGGGTGCTCAGCAGCTGCTGCAGGTGGAGCACACCGTGGCCCTGAGCACGTGCGGAAAGGGAAGCTGCTGGACTAAGTAGCTCGCTCTGGCCCGAGGAGAGTTGGTTTTTACCAGAAGCAATGGTTCTTTGCAGGTGGGAGTGGCCAGCGTCCTTCTGGGAGGGTGCTGTGGGGTATGATGAGCTGGGCCCTCATCTTGGATGCCGTTGGGGGTTTTTCCGGGCTGGTGCTTTAAGACCCCGCCTGGGCCTCCCCCGGGGCGCTATTTGTAAGAATGCCACTACCTGCTGAACCCGCTTAGTGTAGAGGTGTGTGTGTGTGTGTGTGAGGACTTCTAGCAGTGCAGGACTAACATGCCGGTGTAACCTGTTCCCCCCAAATGGGAATTGGCTGGGTCCCCCTGTGCACAACTGAGCCCCTCCAAAGGGCCCCGGGGCAGGTCCCTGATGTGGGGGAGCCCATGCACGCCTGGGGGAGCATCATCCGGCTGCACTCAGCTGGGATTTCCTTCTGCAGGGCTGGCCGGCTCCTGCCTGGCTCGCTTCAGCACCATGCCCTTCCTGTACTGCAACCCCGGGGACGTCTGCTACTACGCCAGCCGCAACGACAAGTCCTACTGGCTGTCCACCACCGCCCCGCTGCCCATGATGCCCGTGGCCGAGGATGAAATCAAGCCCTACATCAGCCGCTGCTCCGTGTGTGAGGCCCCGGCCGTCGCCATCGCCGTCCACAGCCAGGACGTCTCCATCCCCCACTGCCCGGCCGGGTGGCGGAGCCTGTGGATTGGATACTCCTTCCTCATGGTAGGTGGTGCTTGCCGGCGCTCTGTCAGAACATGGAGCCAGGTAGCCATGGAATTCCTCTCCCCAGCCAAAACCCTGGCTGGGGAAGCAGCAAGAACAGCTGCCAGAAACACTCAGACGGGCAGCTGTTCATCGCACAGAGGCACCTGGCCCCGGGGATGAGCGAGATCCGGAACACAGCCTGCATGTTTACCTGCACTTGGTTGCCTACCCCACCCAGAGGGGACCTGGGCATTTGCCACCAAGCCTTTGTCCTTTGGACACATTTGGCTCATTACCCATCTTCCTAAGCAGAACACGGAAGGTAAAGCTCTTCTGGCTCATCCTTTGGCTAAACATAGGGAAGGATTTTACCCAGAATCCTAAGAATCTTATGTAGAAGATACTATCTAGAACCCAAAGATACATTCGTGAACAAGTCCGCTTAAAGCGGTTATGTGTATGCTGATGAGGAAAGCCCTGGAATCCCACCGCCAGGGTTTAAATAGAGAACTCGGTTTGCCCAGCTTATGTTTAGCTTAGCATTATGGGAAGTGACTGCACCAGAGAGCGTCCCTTACAGTTTCCCTGCTAACTCCACCACTGTAGGGGGAAAGAAAGGTCCAGTGGGGACAGCGGGTCTTCTGTTTAATTTCTATTGATTGGGAATGTCATAACCCCATCATCACTCCAGCCACGGTGACGTGTTAAATATTTCACAAATTACATTAATAACATAATATATAACTGGATGCACAGAAACTCAGAGCCCTTCCTCGGCCCGGCTGGTCCCAGCTCTGAGGCTTCCAGTCTGGTGCTTCCCCCGACCCCGTCCTGGCTACCCCCGGGCTCTCCCCTGGGGACCCCTTTCCAGGGCCTGGCAGCCCCCCCGGCACGGCCTCAGCTTGCTCAGACCAAAGTGGGGCCTGAGACGCCTGCTTCTCCCGCCTGTTTACAATAAACAGGAGCGCGATAGCTCTGGCCTGGAAAGGCTTCTGCGTTTTGTGAGCAGGACACTTTTCAGATGTTTTTGTTTTTTGCTGGTGCCTGCCCAAATAACAGGCGCCTCTTTCATTCCCTGCAAACTGAGGCCGAGATATTCCTATTCTACATGAACAGGCTCTGACAACCCACTCACCATGGACAGCTAATCCGCCAAGCCAGAGGGCAGTCTTTGATAGAGTAGCTTTGAGATCCAGGGGCCTAGCATTCACCTTCCTAGGAGCTAAAAATGTTTGTGAAGCAAAAAGAAAGCAGAACTTGAAAGGGGCAAAGAAAATATCCCCGAACACTTGGCCTCGTCTCCCAGCCGGCAGCTGCTGGGTCACCTCCAGGGACTAATTGCTTAATTAACAACCCTCTAATTAGAAAAAAAAAATTAATTACACAAGTAGTACCTGTTCGTTGTTGAAAAATCTGCACATAGAGATCTAAGAAGAAAACGAATGAAAACCACTCATATATACTCCCTCCCTCTTCACAAAGGGTAACAGAGAGGGACGGGGAGGGGTCACTTTCGGGAGAGGTGCTTATTTTTATTTTTTTAATATTTTATTGATTTTTTACAGAGAGAAAGAGAGAGGGATAGAGAGTTAGAAACATCAATGAGAGAGAATCATTGATCAGCTGCCCTTGCACACCCCCTACTGGGGATGTGCCCGCAACCAAGGTACATGCCCTTTACCGCAATCGAACCCAGGACTTTTGAGTCCACAGGCTGACGCTCTATCCACTGAGCCAAATCGGTTTCTGCAAGAGATCGGTTACTTATTTTTAACTTAACCTCAGAAGCTGACCCACATCTTCGTTTTATTTTTTTTCTTTAAAACAGAAGTCAACATTTTGGTATCCCTTCTGCCGGGCAAATGCTTCATTCTTTTGAGTGGGTGATTGGGGAGATGATATTTTTGCCCCCAAATGTGGAAATGTAGTCAACTATATCTACTGAATATATATTATTTCAGAGAGGAAGGGAGAGGGAGGGAGGGAGGGAGGGATAGAAACAGTGATGATGAGAAAGAATTCTTTATTGGCTTCCTCCTGCACGCCCCCTTCTGGAGATTGAGCCCGCAGCCCACGCATGTGCCCTGACCAGGAGCCACATCCAACGGTGCTGCTTTTGCTTTTGTTCTCATCACTTACAAACGCATCGGGACTGTCCATTTATGTCCACAAACCCTACCCTGCAGCATGCCTGCTACCCAGTTCTGCTTCCTACATGTCTACCCGGACTTACTTAGCCAAGCCCCTAGCAGTGAGGGGCATGTTGCAGGTGGTCTGTGTTGACCCAGATAGATGCTCACGTGGTGGTTCCGTTAGAGCAGTGGTCGGCAAACTGCGGCTCTTTGGCCCCTTGAGTGTGGCTCTTCCACCAAATACCACGGCCTGGGCGAGTCTATGTTGAAGAAGTGGCGTTAGAAGAAGTTTACGTTTAAAAAATTTGGCTCTCCAAAGAAATTTCAGTCGTCCTGTTGATACTTGGCTCTGTGGACCCATGCGTTTGCCGACCACTGGTAGGGGAAGATGCATCACTTACAGTCTGCCCCGGTCTGTCCCAGGTGAGTGTGCTCACAGCCCCCCTCTCCTTTCCCGCAGCACACGGCCGCAGGCGACGAAGGCGGCGGCCAGTCGCTGGTGTCGCCGGGCAGCTGTCTGGAGGACTTCCGGGCCACGCCTTTCATCGAGTGCAACGGAGGCCGCGGGACCTGCCACTACTTCGCCAACAAGTACAGCTTCTGGCTCACCACCATCCCCGAGCAGAACTTCCAGGGCTCGCCCTCCGCCGACACGCTCAAGGCGGGGCTCATCCGCACGCACATCAGCCGCTGCCAGGTGTGCATGAAGAACCTGTGAGGGCCCCGCCGGGCTCACAGGCGCCGCCCCTCCCCGACCCGCTTCTCTGCGGGTTGACATTCAGCGGGGGCCACGTTGGTGCTTATTCTTAATTTATTACCTCAGGTGCTGACCCAAAAGTTGATTTCCGTTTTTTCTGTAAAAAAAAAACAACAAACAAAGGTCACCAAAGGAATTCGGCACCAGGACTTACATCAGATAGCCACTTGTCGTCCACTCATAGGTGCTAGCCACTGTCTCCACTCTGCGGAGTGAAGCCTTCCCCCCACACGGTGACTCTCCCAGATGGAAAACTAACAGTCCAGCACTCCCTGTCAGGTCGCACTAGCTTATTATGCGCTACGTGTAACTAACTTCTTAATATGTACCTGTGTAGTCACCACACTTTCAAACTCCTCAGACAGCCCACTCATCTAACTCACTTCACAGGGCGGTATAGACAAATGAAGCCATATGGCGCGAGGGCTCCTGAACTCATGGCCGCTGTTCCCACATGAGGGTCTCCCAGGGATGGGTCTGACCCTGCCCACTAAGCCAACGGGATGACTCAGTGACAGCACAATCTTCTCCCTAATGCTGTTGGTATGAATGATCCTAACCCCCTCAAGGCCAAGAAGACACTGATAGTCACACACCAGCCGTCGTTCTTTCCACCACAGCCTTACGGGTCACGGGGTCTGGCAAGTCTCATGTAGAAACAAAGACCTTCTCGCTGTCTGTTGTCAACCAGGCTACTGGACGGCAAACTCAGAACAGTCAGAAGTGATGTTTCCATTGCCCCCCTGACCGCCCTGGGGAGGGACCCTCCCATTTTTTTGTACAATGCCCTCTATCATGAATGTAAAATAAAAGTCAGTTTTGAACATTTTTATACCCCCAGTTGTTGGCTGCCTTCATTGTCTCAGTTCTGTAGAGCACAGAATTTGCTGTGACCCGGAGACACTGTATCCGTCACAGGTGGTCTGGGTCTGTGCTGAGTTAGGTACCAAGCCACACAGGGCCCCGGAGCTGTTTCCTTGAGTTTTGTGACACTTGAACTCAAGTCTGTGGTATTGTCATTCCGTTCTCGGGGACCAGTCTTTGTGTTTATAATGCATTCATGCTTGCAGAAAGCACCCTAACCATCACACGAGGAATTAGGGGTTTCCAAAGCCATTCACTTCGTTTTGATATGACGCCCCAAGTCAAATCTTAGTATTTCCAAGAAATAGTCTCCAAGACCCATTTCTGCCTTTGGGTTTTTTCCTTGGACCTGACTGACTCTAGGGAACTCAACTCACCGAATTGAATATTACCGTTTGAAAGTCAGTCTTCTATCAAACGTTTTCAGAATAATGTCCTCCTAACAAAATAAGTATTCCGCCTGATAATGTTAGTTGAAAGAGGTCAGCAGCCATGTAGCTTGCATGTCCCCAGAAGCTGACCGAGACAAGGACTCTGCAGAGAAGGGTTATTCGGGAACATGGTCCGGGAATGGAGTGGGCCCTGGGCAGAGTGAACCCAGAAAAGTGGGCACCTTACTAAGGGGGCTATGCCCTTAGCAATTTAGGGTTTTATCCTGCAAGGGCCCTGCTAAGGAAGGCCACAGAAGAAGCCTCAGATTGTCCCGCCCAGGCATAGGAGAGGGACATTTGCAGCCTCCAGTTCTTGCCCCCAGTGTTCATGGTTGCCTAAGACTGTCAGCACTTACATGCCTGAGTGGGCTCCAGCAGCAGCATCTCACGTGAAGGTAGTAAAGCTGATGTAAGGTAGCTAGCTGCACCTGTACACAGCTGGTTTCCATAGCAACAGCTGTCGTCGTGAGATGGGTTAAGAGGCTGAGGCCCGGACTGGAAAGATGCCCAGCACAGCGCCTCTCCACAGAGCTTATGGAGGCAGTTGTTTATTCTATTTTTTTAAATATATTTTATTGATTTTTTACAGAGGGATAGAGAGAAACATCAATGAGAGAGAATCATCTTAGCTTCCTCTTGCACACCCCCTACATGCCCAAGGTACATGCCCTTGACCGGAATCGAACCTGGCACCTTTCAGCCCGCAGGCCAACACTCTATCCACTGAGCCAAACCGATTTTGGCATTGTTTATTCTAGGCTCCAGTCCCCACAACCAAAGGAGCAGACACCACATTTGTCACGGTCCTGACAAACTTGGTTTAGATCTGATGCCTCCGTGGTTCACACTTCAGAGTTAAGTGCTGAGCCACAAAGGGCAGGGGACCAGCATCCTCCCTAGCTAGACCCATGCCCAGGAGCTCCTGACACCCTCCCCACTGCAGACTGACCCTTAGGGGGACATGCAGGACGCAGGGCAGACTCCCAGAGCCCTGCCTCCAGTCCACGGCCAAGTTCAAGAACAAAGGGCAGCTGGGGTGGAAGCAGGCTCGAAAGCTGTGGGTCATGCAATGGCATAAACTGGCTGTAAAACCGCAGCCATTCCCAAAGAGGCCAATTCATCATGTGGGGTCAGGGTCCAGCTTCTCTGCCACACAGGGGAGTGAAGGGGTGAATGAGGCCACCAGAGGGCGAGGCCAAGGAGGATGCTGGGAATTGCTCCTAGAGACACACACACTGTGCATCCTGGAGGTGATGGTGGCCCTCCCCAGGCCGACCAGTCCTGAATGGGGGGTTGGGAGTGCAGGACCTGCCTTGTTCACCTCACGGAGAAGCCAGCAGCCATGGGCCTGTCAGACTAGCCCCAGGAGATGGCTTCTAAGCCTGCATGACTTTCTCCAATGGAAACAACTGGATGAGGGATGGCTCCTCTTGTCTTGAGATCTGAACAACCAAGAACAACCTTGGCAAAACACAAACAGCAGCCAATGGAATGGGGCATTTGAAGCCCAGTCCCAGCTGCCCTAACCTGGAAGGGCATGGACTTGGGTGAGACCTGGATACGCAGCTTTTTCCAGCCACTGGGGGGCTCTGGACCTAGACACTCCTTTCCTTGCTCTGGGCTTCGGGCCTCACACCCTCAAACCCCAAGCCTTCCAGACCCTCCTCCTGGGGGAGGTGCCTGTGAGTTCAAGGCCAACCCAAGGGAGGGGAGGAGAGGGAGCAACACAGATGCTTGCAGACTAGGCGGCCACTTGCTCAAAAGTTACTACAAAGGAGCATCCTCAGCCCCACAGGTTTCAGAACAAACTTCAGGCCCCACAGCTACACCCGATTCTGACAGTGCAGGACCAAAGGGTCCAGCTTTGAGACATGGGGAGGATCAGAGACCACTTCAGGCCACAGAGAGAACGTGCTCAGGGATGGGCAGGTAGGAGGTCCAGGGAGGCATGAGGGCCACTGGGCCAAATTACATTTAACAAGTGCCTCCCAGAGCTCCCCCAGCCACAGATTTGCCTCCAAAACATTCCAAACACCTGGAGGGACCAGACTCCGGTCCTCAGACACAGGCTGCTGGGGTCCAAGGCCTTGCTTTCCTCAGAGTAATCACAGCTGGCCCTTGAGTGGTACAGGTTTGACCTGCACAGGTCCACTTACTTACGGGCTCTTTTCAATAAATTGTAGTTCTGTAAACATATTTTCTCTTCCTTATGATTTTCTTAACACTTTCTTTTCTCTAGCTTACTTTATTGTAAGGGTAGAGTATATAATACATTTAACATACAGAATGTGTGTTCATCTGCTGCTTATGCTACTGGGATGACTTATGGTCAACAGAAGGCCATTAGTGGTTACATTAGGGGGGAGTCAGAAGTCATATGCAGGTTTTTGACTCAGCACTCCAGCCCCCACTCTGATTAAGGGTCAAACTGGGGTTGTCACCCCATACTCAGCACTCTACATAACCAGGGTCACCCAGAGCATGGAAGAGGCAGAAGTCACTTTCACTTCCCCCTCTCTCTGGAGGACAAACACCATCTCTCTGATTCATGTCGCTGGCTTCGAGCACCGGGCTTATCTGTTATAAAGAAACTTTATGCTGGAGGTGCATGGCTGCCAGACATGTGTGTGAGAGGATTTTCCTGGCACAGCAGGGAGCTCTGGTAAAACCAGGATGTCAGATTCAGAAAGAACAAAGTTGAACTTTTTGGGGTTTTTTAATCCTCACCTGAAGATTCTGTTTCCATTGATTTCCAGAGAGCATGGAAGGGAGGGAGAAGGGGGGGGGGGGAAGAGAGATAGAGAGATACAGAGAAACAGAGATAGAGATAGATAGATCGATAGATAGATAGATAGGTAGGTAGATAGATAGATAGATAGATAGATAGATACAGTAGATAGAGAGAGAGAGAGAGAGAGAGAAACATCAACATGAGAGACACATCATCTGGTTGCCTCCTGCACTGCCGGGAAACCTGAAACCAAGGTACGTGTCCTTGACCAGGAATCAAACCCGTGACCCTTCTGCCCGAAGGCTGGCCTCTAACCACTGAGTCAATCCAGCCAGGGTGACAAAGCTGTGCTTTAAGTAACCAGCCTAGCAGCCTGGGAAAGGGGAAACCATGACTTACAGCATCCAGATTACAACATACCCAACCCAGAACTTCCCAGACCCCTCGAAGCCTCCAGGGCACCCGGAGGGTCCAACTCGAGATACTGTTGAGAAGGTTTTTATCTGTGTGAGGACACGTCAGTGCCCTAGGTGAAAAGCTGCAGCCTCCCAGCCCCAGGGCAGCTGCGTTTGTACAAAGGGGTGGAAGGAATGTTTGAGGACACCAGCAAACACACGTCCAGCAAAGAAATCCCCTCCCACTCCACCGGCTGACTCACGAGGCTGACCGGCCTGAAGCTTCCTCAGAACCAGTTCCCTGATAGGGACTTAGACCCACACGAGGTCCTGACCAGAGCCCTGTGAGCAGACTGGGACCTGAGGACCAAACCCCCTAATGAGAGAGAGCCCGGGCTGTGCCCTTGGAACAGAGCCCAGAGTGAGGCCTCTTTTTAGGGCAGCAATAACAGGTGAAATGCTTAAGTGTCGTAAATGAGGAATGTTGCATCCCTGGGCAATCCCCTGTTCTAAGACACTGGCCAGGGGTGCTCAGAGCAGATGGGCAAGGAAATTAAAGATGAGCAAGGGCCAAAACCGGTTTGGCTCAGTGGATAGAGCGTGGGCCTGCGGACTCAAGGGTCCCTGATTCTATTCCGATCAAGGGAATGTACCTTGGTTGCAGGCACATCCCCAGTAGGGGGTGTGCAAGAGGCAGCTGATCGATGATTCTCTTTTATTGGTGTTTCTCACTCACTATCCCTCTCTCTTCCAATCTGTAAATAATCAATAAAATATATATTTTTTTTTTAATAAAAGATGAGCAAGGGCCTTGAGACATGAAATAATTTCATAGGATGCTTTTTTCCCTCCGCAGCATTCAAAGACTAGCTCCTGGGTCTCTCCGGGTAGCATGCTTCCCAGCTGTGTCACCAAAAAGATAAACTTGACAGAAAAATTAATACAACTTCTGCCCATACAATGGCGTATTAAACCCAATCAATGAAAAGCAACCAGCCAAATGGATCCATTTTTATTTTTAACAGGCTACGTCGTGAAATTGAAATTTGAGGCCTTGAGATCATGAGCTGTAACGGGGCACCGTAACTGAGGCGTCCCTGTCACACACTGAGGCTGTGCCCGCCTTCCATCCTCAGGGCAGGCACACTCACCTGGACCAGGTGTGCACAGGACAGAGGAGGCAGCCAGAGGAGCCCAGAGGCAGAGATCCTGGGCACTCAGAAAATTTCCCGAACACCCCCCAAAGAAACCACTCGCAAAAGATTGTGTTCTCACTAGCTTTCTGCCTCATTTTCCTTTCCTTTCTTTTTTTTAAATATACATTTTTATTGATTTCAAAGAGGGCGAGGGAGAGATAGAAACATCAATGATGACCAGCTTCCTCCTGCACGCCCCCTACTGGGGATTGAGCCTGCAACCCAGGCTTGTGCGCTGACTGGGAATCAAACTGTGACCTCCTGGTTCATAGGTTGATGCTCAATCACTGAGCCACACCAGCCAGGCTCACTTTGCTTTCTGTTAAGAGCTGATGCTTGCGTTCTCCCAGAATCCATATGCTGAGGCCCTCACCCCCAGTGTGATGGTATTTGGAGGCGGGCCTTCAGGAGATCATGAGGGTAGGGCCCTGTGATAGCAAGAGTGCCTTTATAAGAAAGACCAGAGCTTGCCCTCTGTGCCATGTGAGGACACCTTGAGGAGGAGGCCACGCCTGGCAGAAAGCTTTCCCCTGGAGCAGAAAGAGCTGGCACTTTTTTTTTTTTTTTAATAGGTCAGTATTTACTTTATTCTGGCATGAGGAAGGATATTCCCAGTATATCACTGAAGGCAGAATCCGTGAAAAAGAAGGGCTGGCACCTTGATGTTGGACTCCCAGCCTCCAGAACTGTGAGAAATAACAGTTTGCTGTTTGATCCACCCGGTCTGTATCTTGTTACAACAGCCTGAGCTGGCTGAGACATTTCTTTCCCAACCAGAGGTCCCCATGTCTGGCCTACAAGTTCTCGGTAACATTTCTAAGAAAACAAAACCTACTGTCTCACAGCTGCCCCACCTTAGCATCTTCTAATAACGCAACAGTGCACCCACCAACCAGCAGAAATGGGGTTTTTAGTTTTACTAAATCAGAAGATTTAGTAACTGCCCGGTGACCCAAGCAGACCTCAGCAGAAAGAGAGCTTTCCGTTTTGCTTTTGTTTTACTGGAATCCATGTCATCAAGACGGGCATATGGGCTATCTATTGTAAATATGTTGGACCTTGTAAGGATTCAGTGCAGCTTTTCCAGAGAGAAGTGCTTTAAGCTCACAGCCTCTCCCCAGAGCCCCCAGCAGGGAGTCCACCGTGGGCACAAAACAGAGCCTAAAGCAGTGCAGTCCCCACACCAACATTCTTCTCACAATTCTTTTTAATAATATGTGTCGCTTCCCGCTGCTACAACCAATATAAAAACAGTGATTCCTGGTTTTGTATAAATTAACATGTAGAGAATCTTGGTGATGCATCAGGGACAAGTTCCAGATGACAGGACCAAAGATACGTCACAGTGAAGAGAGACGTCTGAGGACAACAAGCATGACAGTTGTACAGGTGCTCAGACAGGTGACCACCCACCCAAGCCACCCTCCATCCAGGCCAAGGTGTCAGGAAAGGATCAGCCCGGGGACAACGGTCTCCAGGAACGCTGATCCTGCAGCTAGCTCCCCACCGCCCCACCAACACGGGAGGCAGAGACGACGATTCCCATCGACCTTCTCTTCATAACGAGCTGTCATTTCCACTCGGGTCTGCTCCTCCAGATGCAAAAGGAATGCCTTGAGTTTCTATGCTCCTGACCACAGCTCGCTGGGTCCCGCTCCTTGCCAATGATGTAAACTGGGGGCCTCTGAGAGTCAGGCGCAGCACCCGGATTTGGTCCGCTCAGGTGGCTTATAACTGGAGATGTCCACAGTCTGCGGCGGCCCCTGCGCCCTCTGCCGCACGATCACGGGCACCACCATGTCGAACAGGGTCTCAAACAGCAGGTCCACGTTGTGCCCGGTCTTGGCGCTGGTCTCGAAGCACATCTGCTCGGCGGCCGGCATGTCCTTCTCATCCAGCATCTTGTACTTCAGGATCTTCTTATAAAGAGCCACTGCCTCCTCCTGCCGCACCTGCTTGGGCCCCCTGGACGATGATACACCGCCGCCTCCTTCCGTCTGGCCGCCCCCCTCCTCGCTGAGGTCCACCTTGTTCCCCACGATGGCAAAGAGGCAGTCGGCACTGGCGGTCTCCGTCAGGCCCAGGAACCGCTCCTCCAGCTCCACCAGGCTCTGCGGGTGGTTCACGTCGTAGGTGAGGATGATGGCGGCCGCCCCCCGGCAGTACATGGAGCCGAGGCCGTGGAACTGCTCCCGCCCTGCCGGTGGGGGAACAGAAAGATGTGGTTATTTCTCCTCTCAAACATACCAACCACCGACCGCAACACACAGGAACCTTCAGGAGGGACTGTGGAATGGTCACCCCACGTGTAGGTGTGGCTGGAGCTGAGCGGGGCGGAGACACTGGTGTGCAGAGAGCAGTGACCAGCCCGGGCCACGGGATCTAAGTGCGGGGCCCTGTCCCTCTGGGGGCTGCGGACCCATCCCCACCGCAAGCAATGCCTGCACAGCCTCGGCACGCACTGTGCTTAACCTCCGGGACCAGGAAGATACCCGTGCCCTATTTTCTTTTCTTTTTTTAATTTTTGTGAGTTTATTTGAGCCAAACTGTCGACATACGCCAGGAAGCAGAACCTCAACGAATTGAGTTAATGCTTCCCTTATTTTCTTTTTAATTACAAATTGCAGGGCTTGCTCCTGGTTTTGCTCTGGCACGGCACGGGGCCAGCTGCCTTCACACAGGTGCGCACAGCCACCCGGCCCCGAGTCCTGCTCTGCCTCCCGGTCCTTCGCTCCTGTCCCGCTGCCTGGATGCAGCCACTCGTCAATCCTCTTGACCACTCGTCACTTCCTAGGGGGTTTCTGACCCCCTTCCAGGTTACCTTTACATTTCTTGTCAGTCCCATCACCTCCCCCACCACACACACACACACACTTCCGGCCCCTCACACTCCCTCTGAGCTCTGGCTCCTCCACTCAGCACAATCGCAGGCCCACACCTTGTTCTGCAGTTAATATTTATCTCTCTACCAGGAGGGAGGACTGGATCATGAGGCTTTACTTGCCCCTATGTATTTGGTGCTAATAAATGTGCTGAGTTAGTGAAGCCACAAATTTACCACCCCAGTGGTCTGATTTTCAAAATGGTAGAAGCCTCATTCATGCCAGAAGCTCCATTTACACCCTGCACTCAGCATTTTGGCATCTTGACTCCCTACCTTTACTCCGAACCGCAGACCGAGGAGAAGAGCGGGGTGGGGTGTGTTAAACCCACAAAGAACTGGCATTTCATCATATCGGAATACTTTTATTTCCCCGTGTCTAATCATCAGAAAGCCTACATCAAAGTTACAACTAAACTACAGAACAGCCATCATTCAGATGCATCGATAATCCAACTAATGACAGCCCTGCAGCTAAGGATGTAAAGAAGGAGCCACATGGAGACGGGTTGTTTTCAGATGCAGGGACAGAACAGCGGAGAGCAGGCCTGGGGGCAGTGCCAAGGACAAGCTACTCAACCACCTGTGAGTCAGTCTTCTCTTCTGTGAAATGGGACAGATGACAGCACCTTGCAGAGTTGTGGCGATTATTAAATACACATATAATATATGTTAAACGACAACAACAAAAAACATTAGAAGACCTGTGAAAGGTGCAGATCTCAAGTGAGCGGCAAGCCCAGTGACCCCTTTTTTGGAGTTGGTCTCCGGGGGCCAAGTCTCCTCAGTGTCGGTGTCCCCAGTTTTCACAGCCAGCCCCTTCTTTTCCCCTTCTCGCGTTCACTGTGTGGGAGGTGGTACACTGACTCCAGGAAGCACGATTCCTACATTTGAAACAAGGCCTCCTCCCAAAGCCGGCCCAGGCCCTGGGATTAATCAGCCCCCCTTCTGCCGCTGGATGCCACACCCTGGATGGGGGGACGAAACCCCACACTGGACCCACGCTCTCCGGGCACCCACGCTCCCCGGAGGAGCTTAGCAGAGGCCTCCTGAATCCACAGGGTCCCTTGGAGAGCTAACTATATTTATTTCTTTTTAAGAGAGAAAGAGAGAGGGATAGAGAGTTAGAAACACCGATGAGAGAGAAACATCTACCGTATCAGCTGCCTCCTGCACACCCCCTACTGGAGATGTGCCCACAACCAAGGCACATGCCCTTGACCGGAATCGAACCCGGGGCCTTTCAGTCTGCAGGCCGAAGCTCTATCCACTGAGCCAAACCGGTTTTGGCTAACTATACTTCTAGAGGGTCTCTAACAGCTTCTCTCCCCGGCTGGAATCGGAACCCGTTTCTGAGGAAGTTCTGAACTCCGCCGGCAGTTTTTCCGTTTGGGCTACCGAGCCCGGCTGCTGACTCCTGGGGGAACAGAACCAGAGGTCCACGGCCCTGACAGGGGACAGAGTGCCATCTTCGTCCTCAACATCCGCTGAGATGGAGCATTTCCTTCTCTTACACACGCCGGCAACAAACCAGAAATGATATGGAGGAACCATCCCTGTGGTGTTGCCACCTGTATAATCACAGAGGCTTTCGGTTTCGCATCACAGCTGCCACTGTGCCGTCAAGTGTTTATGCAGATCGCCACTTACTTGAACATCGTGACAGCTAGCGGACCTGCCCTTTGTCAAGGAAGCCTGCTTTCCCGATAAAACTTTGTGTTCCAGGGCACGCACTTAAAGAGAGCGTTCAGAGGAAGATCGTGAGCTCATGCAACTCGGGCACAAAAGGATCCTTGACACACAAAAAATGAAGACCCCTTGGTTTCTGGGTCTTTGGAACACGGATTAAAGGCATGATGCTTACACACATGTATTTGTATGAGCTTAATGTCCTTTTCCAATTAACAACTGTTTTCTGCCAAATGGACAAGGTCCAGCCCCAGTCATTCTGACCCAGGCCGGAAGACACTGCCATGTTAGGGGGCAGGCTGGTGGTTCTGCCTGTGGGCTGCTGACTTCTGTCTTCCTGTGCCTGCGCCGGAGAGAACCACCTGCTCAGGAAGACACCCACGTCCTGGGAGAAGGGCCCAGCATGGACCTACACCTGCCAGCTGTCCTCTCCTTCGCCCGGAGCCAGGGCTCCCTGCCTCTCCCAAAAAGCCCGAGTGCATCCTCCAACCACCTGATGGCGGAGGCGGGAGGGAGGGACCAGGCCGGGGCAGGTTGTTTTGCAGGAGCTGGAGGTGGCGTTCTGCCCTGCAGGATCCTGAAGGTGAAAGTGAATGGCCAGTTTACAGCCACCAGGCCCTCCATCCCGGCTGCTGGGAGGGGCCCACCTGCTGACAAGCAGCACGTCCTCTGGAATCCGTCACCCGCACATCAAAATCCCTTCCTTTGGTGCAGCCGTCGCAGGCCAGCCCTAAGCCTGGTCATCTCATTATACGTTCCGTGTCAAATTTCACTGCAGGCCAGCAGACAGAAACCGAACGGTCTTCACCCATCTCTTCATGGACCCCCTCAGGGAGAGGATGATCAAGTGCTAGTGACAGAGAAATGAAAGAAATGCCGCCCCCGTCATCACCACAGAGCCGGGATTTCCTCTCAGGCCCTGATCTGAGGCAGAGCAACCCAGGCACCCTGAGGTTTCCGACCGCTCACAGTGTTATCGGCGCCCACCCACTGGATCTCACCAGAGAGATCAAGGGAGGGAACGTGGCATTCCCCGGGAGGAATTTTCCAAGTCGGTGACATAGCTCCCTGAGGACAAAAAGGCCACTGTGCTCACGCCTATGCCTAAAATAGCTTTCCTTTCCAGATAAACATGTCTGATTTGCCTTGAGAAATACTAAAGGAGTAAGTAATGATAAAACCCCAAGAGAAACCACAATAACTACTGGCAAAGGAAGCAGGAACCGGAGTCCCATAAGCTGGCCCGAAAAGAGAGTAAGTAAAAGTTGCTGTTGAAATCGCATCACCTGTCGCCCACCCACTCACCGCGACAGGAGAAACGGAGGCACCGAAAGGGCCCACAGATGATGCCGGTGATGCCCGGAGCCAGGACGGTCCCAGGTACCAGGGAGTCTGTGGCCGAACTACCCACTAACGAGCCCAACTCTAGAGATGGGCGACCTGCCTTCCAATCCCCACTGTGTCACCTTAGGCAAGTCACGAAATCTCTGTCCCTCCGTTTCTCCTCGCCAGAGGGTGGTTGTGAAACAGATCTCATGTAGACAGGTCAACTGCCTAGAACTGTGCCCAGCAGGGGTTATGCCCTACACACGTTTGTTTAAATTGTGTGTCAGATTTCGTGCAAACCTACGGAGAAACTCTGCCATCCCAGGACCACCGTGGCGACGTGTGTCCTCATCGGCACATTTACAAACTATCTCCTAGGACCTGTTGGTCACTTTACAGCTGACCGAACTCCTGCCGCTTCCTTATTTTTACAAGGCTTACTTCCCAAGGATGCCCTTCTCCCCGATTTCGGGGGCACTTGATCGCGTGGCCGCCGTACACGGTGCCAGGAGAACGGGGAAACGGGCCAGGCCAGCGCAGGCCCAGGAAGACAGAAGTCGGCAGCCACAATAACCCCAATCGGCTGCTGGACAAGTGAGCACAAAGTATCCATCCGCTCGTCTTCTCTGCTATTCTGTCCCCGCCCTCTGGACAAAGGACAACCAGCTTTTCACCCTGAGCATCGTAGCATTTTTGTTGAAAGGATTTTAAATAACTGAATGGGTGGTACAGCCATCAGAAAGCATGTTACAACACCGGCTGCATGTTCTAAACATGGAGGGAGTCCTTTTTAAAAATACTGGTGCCTGGTCTCCCCCACCCCCACCCCAGAGCACATGAATCAGGATCTGACAAGAGCGTGGGTACCAGAATCATTTTAAAAAAATGTATATTTTATTTACTTTTTACAGAGAGGAAGGGAGAGGGATAGAGAGATAGAAACATCGATCAGCTGCCTCCTGCACACACACACACACACACACCCACTGGGGAGGTGCCTGTAACCAAGGTACATGCCCTTGACCAGAATCGAACCTGGGACCTTTCAGTCCACAGGCCAACGCTCTATCCACTGAGCCAAACCGGTTCCGGAATCATTTTTAAATCTCCCCGGTGACTAGTGTGTGCGCAGCCAGAGGTGACGACCACCACCTTGTGCAGTGAAAGTGGGAGATAAAAAGGCAGCTTTGCGATGGGAGCATCGGAATGCTTATTTAGATCCAATAGAAAAGTAAGGTTTCCCAGGAAAGGTAACTGCAACCTCTGCCAGGAGGAACACCCTGCCCGCTAGGAATGCCCGC